ATATGCGTGCGCGTGTGAATGGAAGTGTGTGTGTGTGTAGTTTGTATACCTATATATATATATATTTGTGTGTGTGTGTATGTGTGTGTGTGTGTTTATGTACGTGCGCGTATGTACGTGTGCGTATGTACATGTGCGTATGTGTGTGTGTTATAATGTGTGTGTATCTATATATATCTCTTGTCAACTGTCTCTCACTTACTCTAAATTGTAAGCCATTCATAATTGCACACAGCCACGCATACATACCATACCTGAGCCAACCCTTCCCCTCGGAAGTCTCACACCGACACACGCACCTGTTTACGCGCATATGCATGTATCGTATCTAGGCAAAGGGATGTTCGGGCTACGCAGAAAGACACAGTGGACATATACAAATCCTTCCGCCCGGGGGATATTGTGAGAGCGCAAGTGGTATGTAGGCGCACACGATCGCTGTGGCACGCTGATGCTACCTATATAGTTGCAAGTCGGATTATGATATCTACTTCACCTTTGATCAACATAAGGTCTTCCCATCGCTCTCTTTTTCCGGGTCTCTGTACTCTCTGACCCGGGTATGACATTGGCGCCAAATATTTGTATCTCAATAGTTAATCTTTGTTTGCTGATAGATATCCCTGGGAGATGCCAAAAGCTACTATTTATCTACAGCAAGCAATGAGTATGGAGTGGTCTTCGCAACCAGCCCAGCAGGTGAGTAGCATTTGTGAAACCGATTTATTTTTCTTGTGTAGTCAATTACAATCAGACCCTGGCTTTATCGATCTACATCAATTTCATGCCTATCTATATATAGTGTGGTTATGGAGTCTTTACGTTCGGAATGCGTGCATATTTCTTTACCGGCATATATTTTTGTGTTCGTGAATAACACCATGATTCAGCTGTTTGCATACCGTGAGAATGTTTGTGTACACTCGCTGAATTATGTACGGATTCTAGCATCACCGGACCGAGTGATCACTTTGTTCAGTGTGATGTGCGTTAGTCCGTGCACTCTAGTACATCGAATTTTATGCAGTATTGCTTATAAAGTTCAGCTTTCTACACTCGACGTAGTGTTAATTGAAGTGTCTCGCTGTTCGAATAGTGTTCGATTCACATCTTAGGCGGCACTGATGCTAGCGTCTCATCCCCGATTTTAATGCATGTTCGCCAGTAGATATTATCGAGCATTCATTAGGGCGCAGTTGGTATCGCAGCAAGCCCTTTTGTCCCAAGCACGCGTTACCATGCACGCAACCACTTTCCTTCAAATATTTGGGTTGATAAAGCATGAAAATTGACGTTGAACCGCAGAAAACATATTCAGTTTGTGTCCTATCCACAAAGCTTGTTGTCTCTCGCTCTTGTTTTAACCTGATTAGTGTTAATTTCATCAATTCTCCAGGCCATACCATGCTTCCGGTCTCGTGGTGTGAGATGATCTGTCCCGAAACACACGTCAGAGAGATGAGAAAGGTCGCTAAGCCATTAGATATCGAAACTATGACAAGTTAGTTGGAATGTAATATATAGGAGTATTAGCAGCATCACTCAAGCCAGTTGAGTTCAATGAAGCAACTAATGTCAGTCAAAATTTCCTTTAGACATATTGTCGGTGTATTGAGATGTAATCTGGGTTTTATATAAGGTTGTTCTATGGAAATTTCTATAAAAAAAGGCACATTACGAACGATCAGTAGTTGATATAGAACCCCCATTAAAAGAAACCTCAAGTTATCATACTACATAGCCCCACTCACTAACGAGAGCCGCAAATTCGCCGAATGCACTCCTGTGCTTTATGTGACTAGAGATTCGAATACCCCCACAAGATCAAGGTTATGAAAATGCAGAGTAGTGAGCATTGACGCCCTCTATAAATGATGACAAGAACAGTGACCCGGTTTGAGGTGCAACCGACACATGCCGATGAGTTATAATATAAATATATATATATATATATCAAAAATACATGTGTTGTTTATTTTTGTTTGATGTATGCCATTTTAGTATTTTGTATATTTAGATCGTTTAGTTTTGTTTGACAACGGGTGGGTGTTGGAAAAAATGAAGACAAGATACATACAGTTTATATGAAGAAATCTGACAATGCAACGTAACTAAAGTTTTCATAATCTAAACAATTATTTAAAGTTAATTAAACTGGTGTAAACAGCAGTTACAGGCGATACGGAACGATCCGCCAAGTTCGGAGAGCATTAGAAATCCAAATTCGAGGTATAAACTATATCATAGTAGAAATTCCTTTCAAGAGAAATACTTTTACTCAGCACCCCTCTTGAACCCTAAGACTGCTTTGATGATTGTGGATCCTACTTGCTTGGACATTCCTAAGCTTTTGCTAAGGAGATCGACCGGATTGTCGTGAGTAGAGACATATGCAAGATCAATCACCCCATTTCGGTCGCTGTCGCGTATATAGTGAAGGCGTATACCGATTTGTTTCAGTCTCTTGGAAGGACCGGTACCAAAAATGATTTTTGTGATACTTGGTCATCAATGTGGATCTTCATCGAGAGTGTCAGAGTATAGCTTAAAGCGTCCATGATGTTTCGAATCTAAGTATTAGCTTAAGTATACTTAGAACGAGCAATACACTCCGCTTCTGTCAGATAGGTGTATGATTAAACAGGTTAGAGCCCTCGTATAGTCGATTTAGGAAATAGGGGTGGAGTCAAGCGTCTGGTCAGCGAGTCTTTTCGGTATGTGAGGGCAAAGGATGTAGTCCCGGTGAGGTAGATAAGAATGCAAAGCAGGGCGTCGTAGTGGGACTCCAAGGGTGCGATGCTAAAGGCGGTGAGCTGGTTGAGAGCATATGGAATATACACACGAGACATGGTGGTAGCATAACTCAAAACACCTAAAAGACGGCGGCATTTACCGTACAATACAGAACCAGTGAAGGAGTCCAGGATTACTCTGGGTGGATGGTCATGGATATTGGAGGTGTCGGTCAAGCGTTAGATGTATTGGGCTCAAAACAGAGAGGTATATGCTTCAATAGAATTTTGGACAACGTGGAAACCAACAACATGAAGGCAAGGCTGATGTTCGTCAGAGTGTACCTGGTGGAGAGTTTGTTGAAGAGCCACATATCGTCACCGGTGTGAGGTATCACCGCAAATTTTTTGTCGACATGAATTATTGACTATATTGCGTATTGACCCAAATGCACTCGTCAGCGGCTGTCTGGCGAAAATCGCGAGCAGAGAGAAACGCTAAGATCCGTGATTCCATATACGATCGATGGAGCTTGAATACTGTATGTGGAAGGTAAAGTTGGAGATCAATGGAGACATTTGGTGGGCACTGTAAACTAGCTACTTCCTGACATAATAGAAGCACACGTTTACGTAAATCTTAGATCTGCAATACCTATAAAATGTAAAAGGAACAAAGCGCAGACCCAAACAATCTAAATTTGGGAAAACACTATAGTATACATTGAAAGACCATCGTAGATAACAGGTGATTTTCCTAGAAATATCACTTTTCTACAAAATACTGAATATGTACAAGGCCGAGTCTCAGGCAAAGGAGGAGACATGTCGAGTCCTCCTGGCATCATTACGACCACATTACGAATTTTGTGCACCCAAATGCACTCGTCATCGGCTGCCTGGCGAAAATCGTGAGCACTAAGGGAGAGGCTAAGTTCCGTGATTCCATAAACGATCAGCTTCTGTAATTTCATACAAACCACGATGGAGCTTGGGTACCGTATGTGGAAGGTAGTGTTGGTGATCAATATCGAAAGAGGAGAACTAGTATAAAATCAACTATTTACAAGGTAAGAAATCTACTGTGAAATAAGACATGTTGAGACCTCCTGGCAAGCAAAACTAGATATGCCCGTCTATACCTTATATGAGGTTGAGAACTCTAGGTAAAAACAGTGGATTCACAGCACCAGCTTAGTGTTTTGTTTTTGAATTGTATTTTCTTAGAATGGATTGAGATATATGGTATGACGCCGAGATTAGATTAATTAGATATATGTTATGACGATAGATTCGAAGCATGATTGCAGTCAATCGATACCGTTTCAATTTCTGGTGACACCTGAAATATATCTAGACAGAAGTAGTGAGTGATAGGAATTCAACTATATAGACAAAAATGTCAGTTTAAAATGCCTTTACCTTTAACTCACTATCGAGAGAAGTAGTTAAACTAAATTCTTTGAGCCTTCATACTGTTGCGTTGGGGAGTGTGAGGAGAAGGAGCTCGTGATATCAAAGCAGGCCCCCGAGTTGATGATATATTCAATATATTTTCAAATAAATATAGGAAAAATACCATAGAGAGTTGCCTTAGAAACAGAGGTTTATACTATCATATAGCGTTGTCGTATAAACAACTAATATTAACAGTATATAGCTCACTACAACTTAAGCTATGCTGAACCTTATCTTGAAAGACATTGTACGAAGTGGTTCACGGTATGTAGGATGAAGGCTATTTAAAGGTTCGATTTTTGAAAAGTTAACCCTGATGGTTTTTATACACTGATTTTTAAAAGCATGATCTTTCAAAACCCATACATATCAATTGTCAAGTAGCACCAGCCTCGGGTGGGGACCCCTAGGGCCTGTCATCTGCCACACCGATATAGTTATGGATGAAATTGTACAGAACAGGAAGATTAAAAACACTACCTGGTGTATGTTCTCTTTTTTTACGGGTATGTGAAACTTGACATAGTAAACTATAAATGGTACGCCACGCTACATACAATTCTTTAGCAAGAGCGGAACCGCTAAACAAAAAATACTTGTTAACGTAACTGCACATAGACAGTTCAAATAAAACCTGTAAATAAGCTACATAACTGTCCCCTGTGATCAAAGGTCTTAAACTTATGTAAAAGACACTATCCGGTATTCACAGTTGGTGAGCCACTGGCATGATATATCTACCAAGTTTACCTTGAATATTACACACATACCTGAAATACATAGCCACTTTCCTGAGGTGCTCTCTCGACTTGTCACTGATTTTCAGAAAACAGTCAGAGTTATTAACTACTGATTGCAAGTTTGTTAACAAATGGTTCCATCTCGCTGAGTCGCGTTGGGGTTCATTTACAATTGGCTGCAAAACATAACAGACAAGTACCCGAATAGGGATAGTATTATTTATTTTAATTTGGATAAATTGGTCGTTGACACACTCTGAAGCTGTGGAATTCCAGCTGGACTTAACTAAACATATTCTGTGGGGGCAACCCCGCAATGGCAACTAATATCCCAATTATTAAATAAGGCGAATATAACTACATCAACTGTAACGTTGTTTTTTCCCTTACATAAATCCTAACCTTAGATACGTGAACTTATTAGTTAAATACAAGACGAGCCAATCTGTGTCGACCGCAAAACCGATACGCTCATGTATCCGGAATCCTATTCTATTAAGAAGGCACTATGGAAACACACCGTGATTTATCACATTCTTAGCTGAGTTAGGAGAGTCTAAACAGTTTGATCAAAAACTCTAGACTCTCACAACACATGCACCCAACAAGAATGCAGTCGAGGCTATGCCGATTGAAACGGTATTAGATCGTAGAGACATGGAACCAGCTAAGGCCGTGTATCTAAGACCACAATCTCTAAGCGGACCTAAAGCGCCTTCAACTACTTAAGTCGCTGCTTAAAGATCCGCCATGAGTTGCGAAACAAATGACGAAACTCTGATATGAACTCTGATATCAAATTTAAATAGATTTACCAGGTTAATTCATATTCACGGAGGCATATGTCAACTATTGCCATCGCTCACTTTGTCCGTCCACAAGTACCACTGGATTCTTCGCAGGTGACAAGTGATTAGCACTTTTACAGACCTCGAGACATCAGGACAAGCCACTGACACGTTTCAATTTTAGGGTCGTGTTCCTCTGCCAGTTCTATATTTGACAGAGAACAAGTACTATGAAAGAATGCCTGAAAAAGAACCAGGTTTTAGGGAGAATTCTAGACTAAGGAAATTATCAAGGGTCGCCAAAATGCGAAGACGACCAGCAAAGAAAGAAATTTACAATGAATGTAGTTATGCATCAATAAAGAGTAGCACATTCACCCCATTTTATCTTAGGAGCTACGTATACCTACCAGTACGATGAGTCTCTACAAAATATTCTCGACGATAAATTAGAGGTATGCTGGTTTAGGGATAGCTTAGCCTTTAGTGCAATGTTTCTATTAACTACTCTCTGATCGCCCGGGGACTTGCAAGTCCGTAGAGGACCAAGTGGGCCACTGTATGCGAGCAGAGGAGTCTATAGAGGACCAAATGGGTCATTAGGACAGTGGGGGATCTAATACCGGCACTGTGGACACATTATTGGTACGAACTCCAACAGCTAGACATATTGCCCGCAGACATTACCACACGTTTTAAGAGTTTATAGATTGCTACCAAAATTCGCGATATTACTATATCCACTGGTCTAACCTTTGACTAGTACATATACAAAATCTGTATTCTAACAGTACTAAACCCAAGCGTGTCATGGATGATTTAGGAGTGATGATGATAGAACATTCCCCACGATACGCTTTTTTATTTTTATTTTTATTTTTACCCTTTTGACCGCCCTCTCGAGAGAGCAAGCGTGTAGGAGTTACAGTCTTCTTATATTACCTACTCGAGGGATGATTTTCCACTCGAAGGCGTGACAGAGGAAAGGGTATTTGTTTATA